AGGGTGAGAAAACGATACGCATTCCTCGCTAAAAAAAAGCAGCAACGGATACCAATTATCAAAATATACGGTCTCAATTATCAAAATATACGGTCTCAGATACCTCTCTCTCTCTCTCTCTCTCTCTCTCTCTCTCTCTCTCTCTCTCTCTCTCTCTCTCTCACACACACACACACACACACACACACACACACACACACTCTTCCAGTTCCAATTAATCTACTGCAACAGAGGTTTGGTGCTTACTTCCCATCACAAGCCGAAAACTCGCAACGGACCACAGGAGCCAAGCGATTTTCGACAGTAGATAAAGAACGACTTGTATAAACCGTTCAGACAGAGAGACGGTTAACGGAGGCCCAATTTTTCAGACAACTTGCCATTTTATTTTGTTTTTATTTCTATTTTTTATTATTATTATTATTATTATTATTATTATTATTATTGTTATTATTATTTTAAAGCCCAGGGTGTTGTAGAGGCCGGTTACTAGACCCACATTGATCGCCTGGAGCCGTCCACCATCATTCCAATGCTCCAAATGATACCAAATCTGGCACACAGCAATCTTGACCCAAAACAAAAACAGGCAAAAATAATAATATAATAAATAATAAGTTAAAAAAACATAAAATCTGACCCCCCAACCCTAATTTCAGTTTTGGACCCGTTCGTCACGGGCTTGGGGGTCCCCGTTAACCACTCGCGAGCAATATACGCATGGCAGTCGATTTGCTACACAACAAACAGACCACAACCAAGCATATTTAGCGACACGAACCAAATGACATTCAGCAGCAATCATCCATCATTTTTTTTATTTTTTTTTTTCCATCATTTTCAGCCCACGAGCTACTGGAGCGAAGTAAGGTACACGTCGTGGAGCAGACAAGACCACAAACCAACGAGCAAAGTAAGAGGTTCCCCCGTGAAATGTTGAAGTACCGACCCCCCAAGTCCCATTCCAGATGATGGAACTAGGCAGGTGAATCTCTGAATTACCTGGGCCCGGCCGGTCAGATCTATACAACGCACCTTCAAGGCCGTGACCCTTTTGTCTTCTTTAGGAAAAAAAGAAGGACAAGAAAAGACCACAACCAAAGCAACACATTGAGCAAGCAAAAAGACTGATGATAAGAGATGCCATACATCCATCCAAACCACATACAGCTCGATCTCAAGACATTTTCGGAAACAGACTCTGTACCTGGTCGAGGAGGTGGTATCATGGGACATTTCGGAAACAGACTCTGTACCTGGTCGAGGAGTTGGTATCATGGGAAGCAGCCGCTGATCGACCACAATCTCTGGCGCATTCGCAGGTCGAGACTGTGCGGCATCTGGGGGTTTGCCCGCAGCCGTGATATTTATTGGCCTTGGCATCGCCTGCCCTGTAGTAGCATCGATGAGCGGACGCCCATCGTGCTCAACGATTTTCTCATAGTCCGCATACGCTTGCTCCTTGAATCTCTCCTGGATTGGCTGCCCGCGACAACCAGATGCAGACGAGCACAACAAACAAACAAACGAAAAACTCACGTTTAGAACACCTTTCAGATCAAGTCCGTCCGCCTTCATTCATCGTCATCAGGCAAGCAATGGATTGATCGATTGAGTCCCAAATAACTTTTCAACGTTCTTCCGTATCTCATCGATGATGGTATGTGCTTGCTCATCGATGGTTACTACCGGGCAGCCAGCATAGGATCAGGCTGCCCGCCGTCATCTGTCTATATAACATAACATAATATGCTCTGTCAACTGCATCAAGACGGAGAACAGAGTCCTGGGGCCTCGCTGCACTACTCTCAACATGCACAAAAGACAAAAATCATGGCGGTGTATCTTTCCATATTCTAGCGGAAGATTCACTCTCGTTTTGCACATTTCGAGAGTAGTACAGCGAGGCCCCTATTCAGATTCATCAACTGCTGCCTCTCTACGCAAGAACAACAAGGTTCCCGAGTCCTTTTCCATCCACATCCGTCAAATGCACCCACGACTGACAGTCGGGGGCGTTCCAAGCCCCTTATATATGATATGAGTAGAGGCTGAAAGTCCGAGGACGAATCAGTCCGGCAGGAAAGTCACTCTTTTGGCTGTTGGAGTTTTAACACGTAGAGTAATACTGACACACACCACACTCTTTTGGTGGTATACGACGAATGAGCCCAACGTACCTTTTCCTCGTCTGGGACCTTGTCGACGGGAGTCACACTGTTGTCCGGGTTGATGAAGCCGAGCACCTGGTAGATATTGTCGAGCAGCACCCCCCGTCCCTCCATTCCAGGCAACCAATAGATGTAAAACTTGCCATTTAGTATAACGGTCTTCGCATGAGCTATGACATCCTCCCACATGCGATTAGACATGGCATTCCCGAGTTCCTGCACGGAGCGCCAGCAAGAAAACGAAGGGCGAAGAGGACAAACGAGACTAAAGGTAAGAGAGACGGTGCTGGAAAAGGAAAACCACAAAGCGCGGCAGCAGGCGGGTGCTCAAGTTTCTCACAGAAAAAAGAAGGCAAGGGAAACCGCTGGCGTAGTGCTTGACAGACCGGACAACCACTAAGGAAAAAAATACGATCAAGAGAAAAATAAACAAGCAGCAGCAAGAGCAATCATGATGCACGGACAGCCATGAAGGAGAAAAATACGATCAAGAGAAAAATAAACAAGCAGCAGCAAGAGCAATCATGATGCACGGACAACCGTGAGAAGAAAAAAAATACGATCAAGGAACAAAAACGGGAAAAACTAGGGCGCAGTCACGATTTCGGTTTCAAATCCGCTCACTTCTCAGGATGGATATCCGTCCACGGCTCCATAAAACGTAACCCATGCGGCAAAAAAAAGCGCACTTTCGGCTCACGATTTCAGCTTTTAGACTCCACTTCTGAGCAAGGGAAACCACTCGCGTTATGCATGAGAAAAAGTTTAAAACGCGAGCCAAAAAAACAAACAGCAGCAAGAGCAATCGCGAAGCCACCCACAGCTACTATCGCTGACAACAGAGAATCTATACCCACTTCTGAGCATCCGCCCGTGAAACGTAACCCATGCGCCATTCCAAGAGTGGGACACAAACAAAAAACAACAAGGGAGAAAGTGGGACACGAACAAAAAACAACAAGGGAGAAAGTGGGACACAAACAAAAAACAACAAGGGAGAAAGTGGGACTCGGAAGGGAGGTTGGGGAGGGGGGGGGGGCAACATGCAATCGCCATGATTGTGCGAGGTGGCGACGCTTGAAGAGGTCCCCTGAACAGGCGGAGGAGTAGAGAGAGGTAGGCGGTGAAAGGTGGACAAATTGGGAGAAGAATATACAGCTTTAGTTTCAATAAAAGAAAGAAGAACGAACCTTTCGGATCCAATCCGTGTCGCGGGTGACAACGCGGAGGAAATCCTCCACGTTGTGCACCCCAAGCGATGCCAGTCGTTTGTGGAATGCACCGTCTTTCCCTATGCGCTCCAGTCTCCACACGTCGTCCCTCAACGACGGTGGGTAATGCTTTCGGTACACTGCACAGAAAAAAACACAACAGAACACAAGACAACGATGTAGACGCCATTCATAAGAACACATGCTTTTCTTCTTGTTGCTTCGTCTCTCTTTTTTTCTCTACAAAAAATTTGTCCATGCCTATGCTTGTCGGTGATACGCAAACAGGACTGATGCCCCCCCAGAAAGGAAGGGGCTGTCTCTTTGCCAAGAAGACTTCCCCTCGTCTTTCTTTCGTGGACGAACGAGGAGCCATGGAGAGAGGACACAAAGGAGAGAGCGCTCCTTTTCATCCCTCCCTTCATCTTTTTTTGTCTTCCTTTAGGAGATGTTGATCAGCTCGCGTGGCAGCCGATGCGTGCCAAGGAGATATCGTCCCAATGACAGCAAGGAAGGTGATCAATCAACACCCCCCAAAGAAACGGAAAACGAAAACTGATGGCAAACAAGAAGGCAATAAGTCAACCCTAAATGAGAAACGTCAGACGTACCAACGAGATATCGTCCCAATAGCAGGCAGGAAGGTAATCAATCAACCGACAAAAAAGAAAGGGGGAAAAAAGAGACTGATGGCAGACAAGAAGGTACTAGTCAGTCAACCCTAAGCAAAAAACGCCACATGCTTTCATCTTCCGCAGATGTACTTCCAAGAGCATACAGTATTGATATGGCCGGCAGTGTAATCAACCATCAAGAAAAAACAAACAGAACATAAGGTGATCAACCACAAAAGAAATGGAACGAGAATCTAGTAATAACAACAACAACGACAACAACAATATTTTGATATCGCGGACAGGGTAATCGATCAAGCAAACAAAAAAAGGAACATAACTGAAACGAGAATCCAGTAATAACACAACAATAACAATACTGATATCGCCGACAGGGGAATCAATCAACAAAAAAAACGGAACATACAGGAAGGTAATCAACCACCAAAAAAAAGCAACCGAAATGCAATAATAACTGTACAAGTAACGCGAACAGTGTAATCAATGGACAGAAAAGAGGAACAAAATGGAATCATCATCACCATCATCATCATCATCATCATCATCATAACTACCGTCTTCCACCGAACATAACGCACCCATTACTTTTACATTTAAATAGAAGAAGACAGCATGATGAGATATCATACATGTTTAAAAAAATAACATCTCAATGTAAGAGAATATGGAAAAAGACGAAATAGACGAAACTACACCATCTGTAAAATAACTTCAAATAGAAAATATATTTTTGCAAACATAATGAGAGATATGTTTAAAAAAAAAACATTTCAAGATATAAGGGAATATGGAAAAAGACGGAATAAAGTACAATATCTGTAAAATAACTCCACAAAGACGAATTACAATTATCTGTAGAATAACTTCAAATAGACGAATATATTTTTGCGAAAATATTGCGAAAATATTTTCGCAAAAATATATTCGTCTATTTGAAGTTATTCTACAGATAATTGTAATTCGTCTATGTGAAGTTATTTTACAGATATTGTACTTTACTCTATTCCCGCCTTTTTCCATATTCTCGTCTTGAAATGTCACTTTTCTAAACATATCTCTCATTATGCTTGTACTTCTATTTAAATACCTCAAACGAATGTATCGAAGCTAAATTTCCGGTCAGGTGCAGCCGAAGAAAGGTTACGTTGTGTTCGAGGGAACGTTACGCACGTCAAGTGCGCAGCACTTTTTTTTTTTTCTTCTTTTTTGAAAACGCCCAGGTTGTTGTAGAGGCAGGGTGTCAAGCGCCGGGCAACTCTCCGGAGTTTGACTACTCGAAGCTCGGAGTGATATTTTTCATATCGTTGATCATAGAGACTATCACGGCAGAATCAGCGACTGAGGTGAAGTCCTAACAAGGTAGCCGCCGCAGGGGAACCTGCGGCTGGATCGACTCCTTTCCAATATACATACCCAGATTTGATTTGACGTCGCGACCTAATGGACGTGAAAACACCCCGCCCCATCCCATCCCGACCTCGATCCGCCCCATCCCCTCCCGACCTCGATCCGCCCCATCCCATCCCGACCTCGATCCGCCCCATCCCATCCCGACCTCGATCCGTGAAATCGTCTTACGCCATATGTGCTGATTTATTTTGGGAGACATGGTTCAAGCCTGGACCTATCAATTTTTTGTTAGACGGCAGTGAAGAACAGTAAAATAACGAGAACACGCCAGTACCGAGATCGAGAGAAGGCGGGGTCGAGCTTATCATCCATCGACTTACATTCTCCGCGATGATCTTTGACGCCAAAGGATTCGGTCTTCGCCTCCTTCACAAGCGCTCTCATGGTGTCATCTGCCATTCGAGCTCCAAGCTGGAACTTCCTGCTGCGGATCCAGCTGGAGTTATCGGTAAAGCTAAGGTCGTTGATCACGGCCCTTCCGTTACGGAGGGTGAGAGACTGATCGCCAGTAATTAGCGGTCGCCGGCCAGGTCGTTCCTTGATGACGGCAGCGTCGAACTCCTCCGCTCCCCACCGCTCCCCCTCTCGTCTGAAGTCTCCCTCGAGGACGACGATATCCACCTTTGCGGAAGCTTCGGGTCCCACAGAGATTACATGGTTCTTCTCGTCGACCAGTTCCATGACCACCTGGGAGTCGTCATCCGCCAGCACCGTGCTGCCTGTGAACAGCGGCGTCTTCAATCGCTTGTTGAAGCGCAGCCGATACCTCCTCTCCACACTTCCTTCCTGCCGCGGTGATGTAGCCATCCTGAAAAGAAAAAAGAAAAAAAAACGTTCCAAACTTAACATGGCAAGCGAGGACGAAAAGGGCGTACCCATCACGAACTTACTGTAGTTTATGCACGTCTTCACCCTTTTCCTCTGATTTACTGTTTCCTTCTTTTTTTGGTTCATTTCGGTTCTTTGTTTTTCCTTCTCCTTTCGTGTTTTTTTTTTTCCGGTTTTTTCCTGTTTTCTTTCCCAGTTTTCCTTGCCTGTTTTCAGACCACCAGCTCTTACCCGTATACCTGAAAAAGAGCACTTGGCTTCGAGTTTGGGCTGGTAGTGAAAACGGCGGGCCACTTTGAAAAGCCGCAGTTGCAGGCTCGCGAGCCGTGGAAGGTAGCTTCGTCAAGTTTAGGCTCTCTCGTGTGCGGCGAGCCTCCAGACACTCGCTCTGGTGGTTTGAATTTCGTTTTTGTTTATTTCGCTTCTCTTTAGCTGCGGGTTTCAATGCGTAGAGAGAAAATAAGCACAACGTTGACAATATGGTTGGCAGTCGAAAGAGACAGGACCGGGAAAAAAAAAAAAAAACATAGTTCGCAGTTTTGAATTGACACCTCGTCGACTTACTTTTGACTGAGCAACATTCGAGCGCGTTTCCACACTTAAAACGCACGCACGCACGCACGCCAAATTAACCATAATCCTTGGCCATCATAGGCCGGTTCATCCCAGGAGCGCGTCCCAGCGCATGCACGGCCGCACTTTCTGTGCAGCTCTGGTCGTCTGAACTATGCTCGTCAAAAAATACGTACGGTCATTGCAGAGAATCAAAGCAGTTAGTTATGCCGCCTTCGATGGCCCACGTTTGGTGTTTTTTGATTCCTACATGGAGGCTCTCAAGAGTCAGAGCTGCGGCGGAGCCTCTACCAGGCCGAAAAGCATGACTGCAATCAATAAATTTCGTGCTGAACTATACTCCTCGCGAAAATACGTACGGTCATTGTAGAGCTGAACTATGCTCCTCGCCCGAATACGTATGGTCATTGTAGAGCTGAACTATACTCCTCGACAGAATACGTACGGTCATTGTACAGCTGAACTATACTCCTCGCCCGAATACGTACGGTCATTCTAGAGCTGAACTATACTCCTCGCCAGAATACGTACGGTCATTGTAGAGCTGTATTTGAGCAAGTTGCAGTCGAGATACAGCGATAATACCTGCACGTTGTTTGTTATATTCGGGGGAAGACACGCGAGACGAGCCACCAGCCGGCCGATCCTCCCGGTTTTTTTTTCCGCCCTCGAAGAAAGAAAAAAAACGGCCACCGGGCTCCGAGATATCACCATCGATCGAACTGACCCGCGCGATTCAAAGTCGCAATTCTTTTTTTACTCATCTGCTTCGTACTTTTCGACAGTTTTACTCGTCTCTGGGCCTCGCCACACCACTGTCGAAAACACGATTTTTTACTGGCAGTTTTTTTCACTCGTCTCTCTCTGGGCCTCGCCACACCACTGTCGAAAACGCCATTTTCGATAGTTTCTCTTGGCCAAACAGGCTGACGAAAAATTGGAGCCGGGAAGAAAATTCGCGCAAGTTGATAGATCAGAGAATGCTCCTCGACACGACACCTCCTTCCGAATCCGCACGCTGCTGAATCCCCACCCAGCCTCTGCTACTCCGATGCTTTCGACAGTCCTCGGCTGGGCGGTCGACTTCTCCTCAAAATTTGGTTTTGGTGAGTGGGCGTGAGGTCCGAATGGAGTAATGTTTTTGTAGGACCCTCGGGCGCGTTCGTCTTTTTCCATCTTGCAGTCACAAGTACGTCCGCTCTACAGTGCTGTGTGGCTGAAGGGGGGCAAACTGTAGAGAGGGCGGCTGTCGAAATTATTTATTCTGACGGCCGTCGGTTTTTTTTGCCTATCGGCGGTGGCGCGGCGAGGCCCTCTATTTCAACGGTTGAGGGGTGTACCAACTAAGATAGGCCAGTATTGTACTCATCGAACAAGGGCTTTCAGAGTAACCAAAGAAAATCATGTAAACCTATACATATAAACCTATACATGTAAACCTATATCCAAATCGCAAAAGAACTAATTGCGTTTTGGATATAGGTAATCATATTTGCTGCGTAGCATGACTAATTACCGAATAAAATAATAAAATCGTAACATAACAAAGGGAGGCGCAGCTACTGGCAAAATGCTCGATTTTAAAAAATAAAAAATGAAAAAATGCTCGATCTTTGCGTTAGCCGGCCGGGACCCCACTGACGACCGGTAACCCTGCACCCTAAACCACTAGAGCAAGGGGCAACATCCCGTATATCCCCTTCACCGTGAGAGGTAGCTATGCTTGCAGGGGGACCGGCCGGCCGGCTCTATATAGACTCAGGAGGAGGTAGGTAGTGAAAGCCGAAAAGAATTCGGCAGGAGCATACACTTTAGTTGAAAAAAGAAAAAGAAAAAAAGAGAAAACGAGAGCGAAGTCGTTATTGCCGACACCTACCTTTTTGTGTACCTAGCCCAGGAACTGGGTTGTCCGAATGAATTCAGACAGCGAGGTCTCCACCACGCGCGGCAGAGTGGTCTCCACCGCACGAACCAGAGAGGATGCATATTCGTTGCTTACCTTAACTAACTAAATAATAATACAGTAAAACAATAACATAAAATCAAATAAAAACGAGAGGTCCTTCGGGACATCCGTTAAAATTGGAACGATACAGAGAGAGAAGATTAGCGCAAGGATGACACGTATAAATCGAGAAATGGTCCAAATTAAAAAAATAAATAATAATAATAGAAGGGGAAAAAAAAAAAAACGAGAGCAAGATCGCCCTTTGCCAACACCTACCTTGGTGTACCTAGCTCAGGAACTGGGTTGTTCCGAAGAAATTCAGACATCGAGGCCTCCACCACGCGCGGAAGAGTGGCTTCCACCACGCGCGGCAGAGTGGCCTCCACCACGCGCGGCAGAGTGTTCTCCACCGCACAAACCAGAGAGTGTTTCACCTCACGCTTCAAAGATTCCACCATAGAGGCGATTCCGATCTGCACTTCCTCGCGGACCTGCGGTTCGACCACAAGCGATCATCGACACAAAACGCCGAGGGAGAGTAAGTAAAAAACAAAACAAAAAAAAAAGTCGGAGGACATCCACTAAAATTGGACACAAGATTATTCAAAAAAGGAAAAGGGGAAAAAAATAAACCGGAGAAAGTTTCAATGACAGCGAGTGAATGCTTTTTTTTTTTTTTTTTTGGTTCGCTTTTTTTTTTTTTTTTGAAGTAAGATTCATTCAGGTCTGGCCGTGATGCCGGTTAAATAGATTGAGGCAAGTCCTAGAGTGAGTAGGGCTTGAGAAGAGGAAAAGAAGGTGATGTCTCAGTGTATGAGTGTGGTCATATTCGCTATAAGCACACCTCCGCAGTAAAAAAACAAACATGACTATGCCAGACTATCTCGTGAGCGTAGTCCTAGTGTGAGCGTGGCCTGAGAAGAGAAAAAAGTGGTGTTTCTCTGTGTGTGTGTGTGTGTGTGTGTGTGTGTGTGCGCGTGTGTGAGTGTGTTTGTGTGTTGCCATGTTCGCCATATACACCTCCACAAAAAGGAAAAATGGTATATTTAGTATAAGCAAGTTTTAAGATCATGAGTAGGCCAGGCTGCTTCGTGTGTATTGTATGTATGTGCGCGAGGAGGAGCGGAGGCGGCGATATTCCATGAATAGCGAAGGAGGAACGAACGTATGTCAGTAGCAAAGCGAATCAAACAAAGTGGAGCACTGAGAGAAGAACGCGGCACTTCATCAGCTCGAAAACGAGGGAGGGAGGGACGACGGACGGAGGAGGAGGGAGGGAGGGAGGGAGGGAGGGAGGGAGGGAGGGGGGTAGGGTGGAGCAAGGGTGGAAGACGCAGAGAGGGGAAAATGAGGAGGAAGAAGAGGCAGGCAGAAGAGTAAGAAGAATGAATTGATTTGATTTGATTTGATCCCAGAATCGAGCACGCGACTTCCCACAAGAAAAAGGAGATGGCCAGCTCGTCTTACGATCGTTCGCAGGGTCGGTTCCATCTTCCAACGAGGAGGAAAAATAAGAGACAGAAGAGGAAGAAAGGATTTGAATCGAATTGAATTGCATCCACAGCCCATCATAAGAATCGAACACGCGACCTTTCCCACAAGAACAAGGAGAGTGGCCAGGTCGTCTTACGATCTTTCGTAGGGTCGGTTCCATCTTCCGTTGCACCTCAGCTAACAGCAATCGCCCATCCATCACTGCCTGGATGACGCTGTAAAAACAGAACCGAAACAAAAAAAAAAAAAAGAAACAAGATAGCCAGAGAACATCGACAGGGAGGAAAACGGCAAGTTACTCGTCAGTCTTCTTTCCCGTGCACTCCACACCTACGTACCTACCTACCTCTGTCTGCCTTGAGCTCGCACAACCTTGTCCACTCACTAATTGGCTATCGCCAAGGGCGTGGAATCATAAAGTCCACATCTTTTGCTGTCTTCCCGGAAACGTTTTCCACCTTGCGACCCTCGTCTCTCTCATACAGATGGAACGTTTTTCAGGTATGAAATTGACAAATCATCTGCACGACTTCAGACATGAAAGCATGCAAACGAAGTCACACATGCCCGTAGGCGTAGACAATTTTTAACAACAGTGAAAAGTAAATTACTTGTGGAACGCTTTCACCCCGCACCAGTCCGTAGCGCCAAGCGCAACAACTCGCGCTTTGGGCCTCGCTGCACTACTCTTGAAAGGTGCAAAACGAGAGTGAATCTTCCACTAGAACATGGAAAGATACAGCGACATGATTTTTGTCTTTTGTGCATTTCAAGAGTAGTGCAGCGAGGCCCTGTCTTCTACAAGGAAGAAGAGGGTGGCAGCAGCTAGAGTTATCCTCCGTGAGCTCCATTTCTTTCCTCCCGTGCGTCATTCTATCTTTCCTCATTCCCCCGCTTATTCTCCCCCCCGTAGTGTCTTCCCCCCTCCTGCCTCATCTGCTGCAGATCGACTTTCCCGCGCTTTTCTTGCCCGCTCGTCTTTCCCGCGCTTTTCTTGCCCGCTCGTTTTTCCCGCGCTTTTCTGCCCGCTCGTCTTTCCCGCGCTTTTACGTCCGCTCACTCCGCCCTGCGTCTTTTTGCTCTCTCGCTCCGCCCTTCTCCATCGACGCATCCAATCTTTATACACTGCCGTATCATATCTCAACCTGCTTCATCTGCTGCTGCTGCTGCTGCTCGCGTTGCCCGCGTTTTTCTGCCCCCTCTCCCTCTCCGCCCTGCCCTGGCGAAACCGCTGAACTCCCTCTGTCCCCCCTCCCAATCAGTCCTCCCTCAAATTCTCCTGTCCAGCTCCTTTCGCTGCTACCTCTCCTCCTTCCCCCCACTTTCACCTCCTCCCGCCTCTTCACCCCCCGCGTTCGCCCCAACCTCACATCACCTCCTCCCTCTCTCTCCCTCTCTCTCCCTCTCTTCTGCTCTTGCCGAGCCCCTTGCATGAAGCTCAAAGCCAACATACATCGCGATTGCCGACACCGTACCAACCGCTCAAGACCGACAAAACCGCACCCAAAACGAAAAAAAAAATATATATATATATATATCCCACGATCATCCCCTTGTTACTTGCACTCAAAAAAAATCCCAACTTCGAAAGTCCAAGAAGGTGTAATACATCAGAAGTCCGAGAGTTAAAAAAAAAAAAAAAAAAAAAGAAGAAGTCCGACAGCGCGTCATAAATACATAGGGCCTCGCAAAACCACTGCCGAAACGAAAAATACAAGGAATGCGTCTTCCGCAGTAAGTGGTAAGATGCATTCGTCGCTTTGACAGATGCGTTTCTCTCTCTTTTTTTTTGGCGGGAAGATGCACTCGTTCTTTTGTCGCTTCGACAGCGGTGCGGCCAGGAGGCCCATACATGCGTAAGAACACTATCATCAAAAAGACTTCGAGTCATTCACTGCGACTTCCAAAGCTCGACGCCATCGTCAACCAAATAGCTCAACAGTGTCAACACCAACACGGCAAATACAGCCTTCCTCCCTTTTCTCTCTCCCTCGCCATCTCAGTCCCTTTCCCCCCCTCCCTTCCCCCAGGAAAAAAAAAAAACAAAAAAAAACGAGACAACAAAAAACATCCTCCCAGTCCCTCGTACACACCTTACTAACCTCGCCAGTCTTGGTCTCTTCTCCTGGTAATGATATGCCGCCCCTCTTTCCTCCCTGTCTAAGCCCCTCTTCTCTGTCCCCCCCATTCTGTATACACCACGGTGTACAAAGGCTTTACAGCAGGGATGATGAGATTTCGCCCAGCTGCTGTGCCCTGCTTGTGAAGATGGCTTGGCTTTCCTACGAGCGGCCGACGGGACTGATTACTGATGCCAACTCCAACCCGAGATGGCGAAACGCGCTGTTTCTCTAATCGGGCCGAGTACTACCCAGCCTCGTCTCAAAAGAGACACCTCCCTTCCGCTCTCCCTCCTCCTCTCCCTCGCCCCCTCTCTCACGCAGGGCGGTTTCCCGATGCCTTTCAACTACTATCTACGAAAAAATAAACCCTCAACCTTAACGTCGTTAGCTGTCTATCACACTGTATACCACTCTAGACTCTTTGGATTCTTGCTCCTCCTGCTCTGGCTCTCCTAGCTCATGTGCGCCCGCCCTCCCCTCCCCCCCCCTCCCCGCCGCCTCCCTACTTCTCTTCTACCCTAAAAACAATATCGGCCGCGAGTGACAGCCCCAAAGTCCAAGTTCCCCCTTTGGATAAAAACGGTCCCTGAAAGATTGATGTACAAGTTTTATGAAAGAGCGCAGGCGGAAATAAAGACCAGAAACAGAGAAAAAAAAAAAAAAAAAAAAAAAGACTTTTAACTGGCCGTGTCCGACACCTCAGCTGATCAAGGGCTATGGCTTTGCTTCGGACCGAGGACCTGGTGCCCACCTCCCTCGACCGAGTCAACCGATCGATCCTTCCCCCTGATTGATTACCCCTCCAACCCCCGCCAATGATATGTCCCTACTCCCTCATTGGCTACTGATGATGAACCGATGATGGTCCTTCAGCGCACCTAACGTTCTCTCTCTGCCCCTCGGTCAATCGTTCTCATTCGCCGTTTACGTAAAGGAACAACTTAAGCGGAGTAAGCGGTCCCAGCATTGCTTAGTACTCCAAGGCCAAGCAGTGTACGCATGTTCTCCTTCTTGCTCCGCTTCCTCTGTTAAAGCAGCCGCCTTTCTCGCTTCTCTCTGTCCCGCGCTTCGCTTGCTTTCCACGATGGGCCAATCACGCCATCAGGAGGGAGTTTGCTCCCCTTCCCCTCTTTGATCTGCCCCGCCTTCTTCTCCCTACTCGTTCCTCTCCTACTCAGACCCCGCTGTCCCCTCCTTCTTCTTCTACTTCCCCCTCCTCCGCCTCCTCCTCCGCCTCCTCCTCCGCATCCGGTCTACAAATCAACCCCGTGAATAGTCCGCGCCCAATTGCTTCGCTCGCTTTCTCTCCCCGATTCCCATAGATATGCTCCTTCGGTTTTCAAACTAATTAGCTTTCCATTCAAACTAATTAGCTTTCCATCTTTGCCTTTCTGGATGCAGCAGCTTCCTTCTCCTCCTCTTTCTCATTATAACGATCGAGGCAGCGTACGCCCCGCCGAAGCTGGCCACCTGGCTTATCGCTTGCGCCTTTGCTTGCGCCTTCTCTTTCCGCTGCCACACACGCTGCCGCCACAACGACCACGCACGCTCGCCTGGTTTATCGCTAGCGCCTTTGCTTGCGCTTTCGTTTTCCGCTGCCACACACGCTGCCACACAGGCTGCGACAACTACCACGCACGAAGTCGCAACTGCCACGCACGACGCGCAACCGACCGCCAATGCAACGCCTTTCGTCGCGCATAGCTCGACATTATTTTATATGCTCTCATCGAACTTGTTCGCCCTTTGAATCAACAACTATCGCCGCGGGACGACGATGATTCGGTGCCTGGCCGCCCTACTCACCCAGTCCGAGAAGGAAAGAGAAAAGGAAAAAAATCTCGCCGGACCACTCCGGCCGTGCTCACACCAGGACGTTTCACTTTGTTTATGGACGCAATTGCACTCGTATACATCCGCTCGTATACATCCAGGTCCGGTCGTAAATGCAGCCGGGAGATATAGAGCTGGTCTGAGGACGCCCACAAGGCACGCTCGCACTTGGACTTTCCCAGACGTATCTGACCGGCAGCTGGTCTGAGGACGCCCACAAGGCACGCTCGCACTTGGACTTTCCCAGACGTATCTGACCGGCATTTCACGCCAAGCTGGAAGTATCTGACCGCAATTATGACCCTA